TATATATATATGTGAGTCTTTACCTGCTGTTGGCGTAAATTGAATATTTTGTGTGTCGTAGAAGATGGTCGATTCGCTCTTTCCTTCGTGATTGATGACAACATGGTACTGATAATCCCTGTTTGTGCTCTGATCATGAGCAGACAGACCAATACGGACATTCCTCTCAGCACGTGCCTCAAAGATCACAGTTTGGCTCAAGGGTGGTGAGAAGATGTTTCCCAAGTCAAATGCGTAATCGTACCATGGAGACATGTAGTGTTGCTTTGGTACTGTGCAACTGGATGCTAGACAAACGAAAATATGTCGACATCAAAAACAACGAAACCTACACGTGTATTTTACAATAGCCAACACATTCGCAACGTACATAAATTATGATAAAGAATGCATTGAATAATGTTAAAGTTGTCGTCACTTCAATAGAAGGAAGATATCAATAAAGTGGGCATGAGATACTAGTACATTCTACTTCGCGAGGGAAGGAAACACTTCGCAAGACGCGTACGTTCTACCAAATTTTTGACTTCGCTTGTTTCGTCCAAACATATCTATAGCTGTGATAGCAGAGTTAGCCTTCAAAATTTCAAAGAATGTAATTTTCTTGATGACTCGCAAAATGACCTGTCTCTGTAGCTCCCGGTGCCACCACAATAGATAAGCCTGGGTATTAGGTGAGTAATAATTTATTCATCACCATACGTGTTCATAACACAGGGAATGTTGTTAGCCATGCAGGTAACACGGCGCCATCTAAAATTACACAAATTTTGGCCTTGAAAGGATGAAATGATGTTATCTGGACCAGCGTTTGGTTCCTTGAAGATAAATATTAAAAGGAGGAGGAAACTAGGAAAATAAGAAAGAAGAAACAAGGTCCTCGCGGCTGTCCGAATGGACATGGATTTTGGGTTTAGAGTTTGGGTAATTATATGAAGGGAAATGCAATAGACTGCAGGCAAGTCTGTACAAAGCTTTATGTATACTTAAACCATGCTTAACGTCAACGTATATTCCTTTACGTATCTATACAGTCACCTACACCTACAACTACGTAAAGATAATCGTTTTACGTGGCCTTTCCGTAAGTGCGGATGGATTCTTAATTATTTCCCGGTTTTCACGTTGCCTTTCAGCAGCCTAAGGATCGTAAACAGTGATTAAAACATGCCCATATTTAATGTTTTAGAAACTTACTTTCCCTGTCACAGCCTAGAATCTCCACCCTCATGCTGATCCAAAAAAACCATAACTGAGGGTAGAAGCGCACGTAACGGGCGTCCACCGGATGGTCCAGTAGGTTGGTTACTTGTGTGTTCTTGTTGGTGTTGCCTTTAAAAAACTGGAAGGCAAAGGGGTACGGTGTTTGCTTTATATTCGGACGGAGGGAAGTTTAAAACCTGTAAATACATACACACATGAACGCGCGCGCACGCGCACACAGATACCCCCCCCCCCCACACACACACACATAAACACACACACTGCACACAAACGCACACACAGATACACACACAGACGGAGAGAGAGAGGTACACACACACATACACGCACATTCACACATACACTTTTACATGTGCATACATAAACGCACACACACATACACAAACACACACACAATACTACATTTGTTAGAATCCAACTCATGAAAATATAAATGAATCTAGTCAATGGAGGAGCATGCATACCATAATATATGAAAAGTCATCTAGAAGAAAGAAAAGAATATGTCTGTGCTTCATTACCATACCTTATCGATACCATCATTGTGCCTGTAGGTGACCAGACTATTCTCGTCTACACCATACTGTAGTGTGAAGTATTTCACCCACGCTTCAACATTGGCTGAACCCTGGATCATTGTGCCCGTAACGCGCTTGACATTTGTCAAATCAACCTGGAAAATATTATGTTGTTGTCATATCATGCACTTTCAGTTTGCACACCAAAGAAGAATATAGCGCTAACTAGATATCGCGTTTCGTACATCCACTATCCAAATACTTGTGTATTATTTTGTGACTATTAGTCATCACCGTTTTATCTATTTACTATAATTGTATTGTACAGTATTTCTTGTATTCATTGCTGCTTTAGTGTTCATGTTGTAGTGTGTATTATCTTTTTGAATTTTGTTGCGCACGGCATCTGTAGGGTTTGCTTTATCATGTAGTTCTGATGTTTTTGAATATCAATCTGAGTTGCAATTTGAATAATACGTGTAACAAAGAGTAATCTAATACTCGTTTAAATGTCCAGAACTATGTTTGCAGACATTTTGTTGGTACCACTGATTCTATGAACCTACCTGCAACCATTGTCCGATCCAATTGTATTTTGCTGCCCAGTTTTTGTTTCCCTTTAACCGAGCGTATTGAGCTTTGTAGTCATCACCACGTCTTGAGGATGCAGTAATGTCATCGTCAAGTATGTGTCCAGATTCCATTCCAAGTGCATCTCGACAAGCTGAGGAGACAAGACAAAATGTCGGCGTTAGTTCGGAGATGTTGATTGATAAAACCACAGTAGTGACTGTGACCAACGTCTTATGCAGAAATAGCTTTAGGTAGAAATTGTTTGTTGAAGATAGCAGAATCGGAAGAAACTAATAATGGACATATCGAAATCATATTTAAGCATTTCACCATCGTTGAACTAGACTGATAGCTTTTCTTTGCATGTTTGAACCTTTGTTTACATTTGATATTGATAATGATTGATGTTTGTTATAATGTCAAAACAGGACACTTTCAAATTCTTGATGTCATGTAGGAATGAATGTATGGTGGACAAATTGTGTAATGATGTTTCCAGATATTTCAAAAAGAGAGAAGAAACGGCGATTAACAGTAGATGATAGGTAGTATATGGTACAGTTGTAATGTGTAGACTTTTAGCACTTATCATTACAATGTAGCGTTTCAGCATTCAATACATTTTTAATATGTGGATGATGTGCATTTAGCTCATCTGGGTAGGAATATGTTGTAAAGATTCATTCATTTAAAATTGATTGATTGGCAGTATAAAAAATGTCACCATCGAAACTAAAAGCTTACCTTCCTCGCAGTAAGTTCCATACCAGCCAGACGCGCACTGACAGTAGTAGTGGCAATTACCTCCTGACATCACTGTACCTCCATTTTGGCAGGCTCCTGAAAAAATTACAGCCATGAAACATTGATAATCATCTATACGCCTCAATTCCTGTTTTTTTTTCGAAGTTAGTTCTTTTAATGCTGACATGGTGTAGGCCAACCCAAGGACATTATACAGAAGTGTCCTTGGCCACCCCCCCCCCCAAAAAAAAAAATTCTGGCCAGACCGAATTTTCCAGATATTATCATTATTTACTATAAATCCATTGGTTCATTTTCTACATTTATTGAACTAAACTTATGTAGTGTGTGTGTGTTTGTTTGTTGTTGAGCTTTTACCTTCCTTGCAGTATTCCCCTCTCCACCCAGCCGGGCAAGAACATGTAAACAACTTCCCAGAGCCTGCAGTGTCTGTTACTACACCTCCATTTTGGCAGGTTGCTATAAAACATAATTAGAAGCATTAAATATATCAATAAGCATCTACACATACAAGTTGTGTTATTCTAAACTACTAGACACGGAAATCCTGAGAACGTGCCGGTAATTCTTTGCACCATGCAAACATGTTTAAAACTATATTAGGAAAAGAAAATAATGGCGGTTACACTCTTACCGTGATCTCGCTGACAGATGAATCTCAGAGACCTGTCGCATTGAGAATCATACCACTTGCGATGTTGAACAGATAATGCGGCACAGTTTTCACCTTCGCCACCATTCGGTTCATGTTGGACTTGGAGCCAATTGGAATAGCCGGTTGACGTCAGGGTCTGTCCGTCCTCGAACACCCAGTTATCTTCGCTGTCGGCGTCACTCAGCCCGATCCAACGATTCTCAGATCCCAGGCTGGAGATAAACATGTTGGTCGCCTCGTCCTTCGGCATGGCTAACACCCCCCCGTCTTCGGCACACGTCTGATTGGCCTCATTGTAATTCTTCTCCTCCTCAAAAAACTTGTAGCAGACTACTTTCTTCGGACACCCTGTAGGGAAAAGAATGTCAGTTTGGTTTACATAATTATCACGTTCATATTGGCAAAACTCTTATTGGTCCATTTTCTGCCGATGAAGAGAAATCCGCCTGGCGTAGAAAAGGGCAAAAGGAAACTCAATATTTAGAAACAAACAAAATATATCAATATAAATGTAATCTTACAAGTGTAGTACAAATTAAGCCAAATTTGATGTCTTTCGGGCCTTGCATACGCCCGTTTGCGAATGCTAAATAAATAGAAATAACGACGGAAATAATTATATAAAACCTCTAGCTATAGTAATAATTATGTGCGTCTCAAACAACTAACTGTGAATACTAGTATACCTCTTCTGTACTTCTAAACACACATTTCCAACAGTACAAACTACTAAAATTTAAATGTTTCAGCCAACTAAAAATAATGCAACAATAGATAGATGTAGTATAAATTTAAAAACAGCCTGAAACAAGCCAAACAGAGATAGGAGCTCAAGTGGAATTCACATTATTCTAAGCTACTAAACACGAAAATCGTAAATAAGGTAGGTAGAATTATATAGAGGTCTCTTGTTTTTCTAAACGTGTAAGCGTCACCAATAATATAATTATTTATAGTAAATGATTATAGATAGTCCTGGTCGGATACCATTTTACGCAGCCTAATGAATCTAATCAAACAAAGCACAGAGAAGGTTCCTTACCATTTTGTGCTGCAGAAGCGTCGCCCAGAAAAATATTCCCAGCAAACACAACGATTACGGCCAGGCCTAGGCCTAACCTCGCCATGTTTTTTTGTATGTTCGACCGCCGCAAACGTCGCTACCGAAAATACGAAAAGCACCGGAAAGCCGGTCTCTCTGTACGGACTATCTAAGGTCCCCAGGGGAATTAGACATCCTACATTGGTTAGCAACGCGCTTCTGAGAACTATTGACGCAATGGAACACAATAGATGCATGCAACTGTTAATAACCATACTGAGTAATGAAATTTGAAAAATTGATGATGTATATTATTGCAGTGGGCCACAACAATGGGGGGTTATTATTCCGTGGCCAATTATATTTCTGTTGACAGTATATAACATGGTAATAATAACAACCATATACACGTGTTGCTCTTTTTGAGAATTTAACATACAACACATGTTATATGCATCAAGTGAAGATAATTCTGTCTCTTAAACAAGTTTGAACTGCAATTTCCAACACAAGAAATTGAATCCACCCAATTTTTTTTGACTGTACAACTCCAGTCTTTGTCAAGGACAAATGAGCAATCCACCGCTTCCATGACGTCACCTAGATACATGTATCACAGTGGATCATAGCCTCCTGTGCAGGCTCGGGGGCGGGTGGGAATTTTGATACAGCGTTTTAAAGAGATCTTAACGCGTTCTTTTAATAGGCTACAACCAGCGAGAGAAGTTTACATTCCGCCCACGGACCTTCTCCCGGCGGATGGTTGTAGGACGGCCGGCTATTAAAAGAAAGCGCGTTAAAAACTCTTCAAAACGCTGTATCAAAATTCCCACCCGCCCCGGAGCCTGCACAGGAGGCTAAGTGGATCATAGGTTGCAGAAAGTCTGTCACGTGGCGCCAAAGCTGGTTATCAGAGCAACAAGGACACAAACACAGGTCTAGTTGTTCTGCCTTACATGATAGGCCTGAGTGAAGGGCTCAGGAGAATTTTTGCGAGAGATCAAGACCTGCTTCAGAACAACTAGAACCCTCCGGAATTTACTGGTTTCACCCAAGGACAAAACACCAAAGGAAATCAAATGTGGGATAGTTTAGTTTACAATATACAGTGTCAAGGACAGAACTGTAAGGAAACTTATATTGGAGAGACTTAAAGATTCCTCAAGGCTATATATAGGTTAACGTTCTTAGAACACAAACGACCTAGCTCGACTACTTCGGAACTGTCTGCTACAGCACCAGTTACCATGGTGACAGACGTCTGCCCCATGCCATTGACCGTATTTGTTAGGAACGGAAGAAGAAACAGAGCGAAAAAAAATGTGTTTTCCCTTTGCGAAGGTAAATATAATTAGTACTTGAAAAGAACAAAGAAATGGATGATTAAATATTATGGTTTATTATCATCTAGGAAAGGGATACATCACAGCCATAGACTGGATTGTAATCAATACACTGAATAATTGACTTTAAGACATAAAGTTGACTTTTTAAAAATAATTTCCAACATGTAATCACAAGACGTGGTGACGGCACACTCAAGTTTTTCAAACTTATATTAATGCCGCCACCAACACAGGGGACAATACAATACTCATTTTCACCTCAGCGAAGTGAGGATAGTCGTGTAAAGTTCCAAGGGCACAAGATTGGTGGCATGTCAGGACTCGAACCCGGGACCTCTAGGTTCTGAGTCGAGCACTCTGCCGCTACGCCACACGACCCCACATAGTTGACTCTATAACTAAGTTAGTATTGAAATGATATAAGGGTAACGTTACGACGCAGGTACACATAAAAGTTACATAAACAAGAAATATTTCGTAGGGATATGGCCTGACATTGCGTAATTGGCCTTCTGAATTTAGAATGATACAGAAGCAGCGCAAAGAGTCCTCAGAGTTTACTTCCTACTTTCTTGAACACGCATCTTCCGGTAACACCCGTGCCTTCGTGAGTCTTTGTCTGCAAAAATAATTTCCAAGAAAATGAAACATGATGGAAATACCAAGTATACAAAGAGAAGAAATTTAGCAATGGTAAAAGAAATCCATCTTGTATGCATTATCATGCATGATCCAATCTTTACATTAACGTTTACGTTACAAATTGCCAAAAAAAAGTAATTTCCTTTGGGGTATGCTCTAGAGGAGTATCCTTTGATACTAGTAACGAACACTTTTCTATATAAGAAAAGAAAAAAGTCAGTTACTCACAAGTATCATCTTGTCCCCCTGCAGCTCGCGAACAGTGATGTTTTTCTGTCCGTTTGGAGCTGTCTCGTGGAATATCAGCTTGTTTCCCTCCTTGATCGTAAATTTCTTAACATAAAAGGAAAATAAAAAAGACGTTTGCGTCAAACAAAATTAATAGCATGCAGTGCTTTGTGGTTGCTACTGTTACATCCATAGATATATAATATGGATATATTTGTACTTAATGTTCTGCTACGTAATTATGCATGCGCCAATCCAACAGCCTCCTTAAGCGACATTGAACTAAATTGCAGCTATTTCGGTTCAATGTTAATGTCCCCTTTCCAGAAAAACAAGTAAACAAACACTGATGGTAGGCTTCAATCCTTTTACGTAGGGTAAACACAGAGCCACCAAGCAATACTGTGTATGTGTGTATAGTTGTGTGCATTTGTGCATCTCTCTCTCTCTCTCTCTCTCTCTCTCTCTCTCTCTCTGTGGGTATGTGTGTTTGTCCGTGTGAATGTGTGTGTGTGTCTGTGTGTGTGTATATGTTTTTCTGTGTGTATGTGCGTTACATATATTTGTTTCTCACCTTCACTGGTACTCCCACCGGTCCCAATGCTTCACTCTCCTCCCCTACTTTAAACGGAATGTCTCTCTCTCCCCCCTCACTCGCAGGGTCGGGAATCTGGAACAATCATACATGTCCACGCGACTGTTATTTTGTAGACATATACCATAGAGCAATTAGGATGAATAAATGTAAATCATAATACATGTATGTACAGGGCGAACGTACTTCTTGACACACAAGACGTATTCATCTTTTAAGGGAATTTTTTTCTGCTACTGACTGCAGTTCGCCTCCCAACTCCTAGATGGCGTTGGGAGTTGGAAAGTATGCGGTCCCAAACGCGACTAAGCTTTTATACATATCTCCCATTTTCGCATTTCAACTGGCAGTTTGTTCCCTTAGTAAGCACTGGCGAATAACTTAATGTTAAGAAAAACCTCATGTACATTTACCTTGTCTAAACTCTGATGTCTTGCAATCATTATCGAACGAGTTAGCGATTGCAAATAGCAGTAGAAAGTAAACGTAAATAAGAAAAAGGAAATTCCTACCCTTAAGATGACGGTGTCTCCCTTGTCGATAATCTCGTAGGTTTCGACCGTTTTGAAAAGTCCCAATGCCATGTTTGGGTCAGGTGCACCTGAAAATTAGTTGGAGATAGTGTACGGTTGTTCCAACACTGTAAAGGGCTATTGACTGAGTGAACTAAATCTTGGACTAGAAAGGCAACATTTGCATTTAGCAAACGCATAATATTTACCTTCGCATATGGTCTGCTCTGTTAATTCGTACTCAAACACATTCATATATATGGTGACAGGAGTCTAAATTCCTCCTGTTATAAAATTGCAACATGATGTAACCCAACACCAGTTACTATGGTGACAGACGTCTGGTTCAGGTCATTGACCAGGTCAGTGGCTGGAACGGAAGAAGAAGAAACAGAGCAAAAGCAATATGTTTTCCTTCGGTAAACATAAACAGCATATAATTTTGCCTGATGTTACATATTAACCTCATAGCAAAGAACCAGAGATTTCAGATTTCCGAATCCGGAACGTGTTGGGTAGAGTGTGCAAGGGAGCCCCGTAATACAAATCGGAAGGCACGTACATGTAGGCTACGCTTAAGTGAACCAAAGCTGAGAAAACCCCGGAAGTTTCTTACCCATAGCGGCGAAGAACTTGACGAAGCTGTCGTCGTCCCATTCCGTGACGGTCCACTTCCCAGAGAAGTCCGCCATTCTGTCCTGTATGATGTACTAATTATACTGTATTTGGATGATCAAGCCCTGGGAAAAAATTTGATGGCCTTTTTTCATAGGCGTTTTATTTGCAGTGACAGGGCTATTCCACCCAAAGAGCACGGAAGGGGGGGAAAGGACCGTCCAGGAAAATTTCTCCTTCTTAATTCACATTTCTTACTTCCCAACTCCTAAAGACTTAAACCTCATTTATGTTTTTAAAGTTTCACATTATCTTATATCTTGGAATCCGTCCTTTTCATAAAAATATTATGTCATTTCTGTACTTTTGAAATGAGATCATCCAAAGGACCAAAGGTTGACTGCACATGGTTCCAAGGACCGTAGGGTCAATGACCGTAAGGTCATGTCTGGGACTAAAGACTGGTCAGTGCAGGGTCCAGTAATGACTTTTTTTTGTGTGACAGGATAATTTTCAAACAGGCGCGGGGAGGATTGAATCCATTTTACCACACTACTGGTGCTAATTGAATGTCACCAGTGCTCTCGTAATATAGGTACATTATACTTTGATTGGAAACTATACACTTTTAATGTTGTGCATTTGGTACTGTGTCTGTATAATACGGACGGGACATGTGTGAATGACGGAAGTTTCATACTCTACGATTTTTGAAGGACAGTTGTGGGACAAGATTAGTCACAGTGTGGTGACATCTCGGTCATTGACCGATATGTCATAGTCTTTAATCTGTTTTAGAGAACAGTTGTGGGGTGGGGGATTAGTGTATGACATCTCAGTCATTCACCCCACGTACATTTTTCCAAGAATGTGACATTACGGTCATTCACCTCATGGTTGATCCCATTCCAAACCTTCATGGAAATTGAATAAGGGACTTTTTTCTACAGTATATGGGTTATTTTAAATTTAAGCCTTAAGCCAACATATACATAGGAAATATTTATTTTTTGCTCTGATAAGTTTGGAAGCAAAATGATCCAAAATGTGGGAGGTGGAGGCAACAAAATTTGCCCGCTCCCCCTGCGACATTGAAATGGTATATCCCTTAAGGGTATGCAAATAAGATCATGTTCATAAAGGACTGTGTGCGCGATCGAAGATTATGACAAATCCAGGCAGTGTCTACCTAGAGAACAGTAGATTGTCTGATCTGAGAAAAGATGGCTGATTTTTCCGGTAAATGGCGTCCCGAAGAAGGGCAGAATAATGAAGAGAGCTTCATCAAGTTCTTCGCAGCCATGGGTAAGAGAAATTGTAGTTGTAGTGTCGTAATATTTTGATCTTGGTCAATTTTCCAGAAATGTTGAAGGGCCGGTTTTGTGCTACCCCAGTTATAAGCTACCCATATTGTCATCTATTGTCATTCGTTTTGGCTTTTTGTAAACTAAAGCTGCTAGGTCAAATATCCATTTCTGGACTATTTAGGCCACACCGATTTAATTTTATGGATGGCATCCGCGCGCGCATTGATTTTCGTCTGTTCTCAAAAAAAGAAAGAAAGAAAGAAAGAAAGATCAAGTCCACTGAGGCTCTGGCCTGTGTTTAAGCCTGGGTAGTCCATGGTGGTTAGCGAAAATACGGAGTCGGGCACCCAGGCCGCCGAAGCTCCACGACTCAAGAACCCCGTACATACCGTACAATGCCGATTCATAAATTCCGCAAAAACGCCAGCATGTGCTGGCTTGTCGAATACGCCGCTAAGTATGTATTCCTGTGGTTTAGTATCATTTTTATTTTTGGCCGGAATTTTTTTTTTATTCGCCCGCGCGCACTAGTTTGGGGGCCGTGTCGAATGCAATTTGCAAACACAATTGACGCTGGGGTCAATGACCGTAAGATCACGGCCCTTGTGAATGACCGTTGGGCCACACGCATGACCATGTGAATGCTGTTGATGTTGTTTTCTGCACATAGACCTTTTTTCTTACTACTCTAACGGTATTTTTTCTAATACCAGGGGTGGATGGTTTTGACAAATGATATTTAAGCGTATCGTGTTTAAAGTTGGTCCCTATATCACTATATGGCAGTCTATTAAATAAATATCATGAAAGTTCATCTGTGTTGGTAGTTACATGTTTAGAGTTAAAACTTGGTCATTCTGGTCTTAACCCAATGTTGACGTCACACTTCAAAGAAGCCACGTGACAAGCTTCACTGGGTCAGTCTACTGAGGAAGACCAGAGTGACTGGTCGAAAGCTCTAGGTGAGAAAACTTTTTGTGTTGGATCTAAAGTTTTGACTCACACATGACTGACATACAGTTTTCTATTATCCACTGACAGGTTCTCCGAATCCAGAAATGGCGTTTAAGCTGTTTAGCACCGCTGAGGCTATGGAGATCATTGACAAGGGAGACACAGTCATCTTTAGGGTTAGATTTCTCCATTTTATGGCAATAGCATACTTTATATTATCAAAAGAAAACGGCTGAAGCGATTAATATACAACTAATAGACATTCATTACCTGCTATAGAAAGTTCAAAAGGTTCAAAACAGCAATTTCATCATCTTCTAACGTATTCAATGAGCTATGCTACTTCCTGTCGCACGGTGGCGCTGCGGCAACGAGGTGGTCCTAAACGTGACTGAGTTTGTATCCCCCCTCGGCTTGCCAGCTCCCCAATATAAGCGGTTGAACAAAGAACGTTAAAACGATTGCATCAAGCTAATGAAGGAATTTACAGTGCTGAAGAGCTTCTATCTTTCGACGAACTATCTATATTTATACTTTTACCGTTGCTACTGGAATCATTTTACCTTTTTTAACATATTTATTTTCTTGTTCAGATCCCTGACTCAAAGAGTGAGGGTGGAGAGAAGGACATTGTGTGTGGGTGGAGAGAACGAAGTAGTCGGACCAGTTGGAGTCCCGGTAAAGGTAAGACAAACTTCATAAAGTTTTAATATGAAAATATTATTACTTCTTGGTTCATGATATAAAAGAATAAATGAGATTTGGACCAGAGCCCTTTTCAATAAGGCCAACCCATTTTTGTAGTTACATGGAAATACGCTCAATGTGGACGCATCTAAATTCTCGAGTAAGAATGGTCTTTTCTGAGTCATTATCTTTCTTTTTCCCTCTCTCTGATTTAAGAAATTCGTGACCAAGGAAGGGAACAAGCTGATCTTCAATGAGACAGCTCCTAACGGACAGAAAAACATCACTGTTCGCGAGCTGCAGGGCGACAAGATGCTGTTTGTGAGTAAAAATACATGTCCAAGTGTTAGTATACTGTAGAAGATGGTTTCTGGCCCGTTACCTGAACTTACTGGCATTTCTACTATTTGTAACTCCAACAGTGAGTCCATAAGGCCGCACAACACAGTATTTATCAAAGTAGTACGGGTACAAAGTAGTGCTGCACAATACTAGAGAAAGGTGCCTAGATTGTTCTGTGCATGGCATCGAGATAGAACCTGTGGTAAATGTTAGAGGAATACGTCAGTTTTTAGACTGTAAAAGTTGAATTATGGTGCGTGTTCAGTCGGCGGAGATTTGCGCTTGGATACTTGTACCAACTACTACCACTGTGCGTTGGCTGCAGTGGCGCTAATAAAAGAGGCTAGGGCGCGGGAAGAGAACGAGCTGGCAAACCTAAGCTCATTTTCACATATTTAGTACACTATACCATGAAATTAAATATACCAAAATTCTGAACATTGCTTGTGCACCCTACTATGATTTTCAGAGAGTCGAAGAAAGTCCTTAACTATAGAAATCCCCATAGGGATAATACTGTGTTGTGCCGCCTCTCGTTCCCAGTCTAACATGACCTTTGCCCTTTCAGTCCAAGACTCACGAGGGTACCGGCGTCACCGCTTCCAGCGTGTTCGTGAAGCAGTGAAACGTCATGGGCGTTTCTACGTGACGTCATAGCCGTTTCTAGGTGACGTCATACTGTGTCCACCGCCATGTTGGTGTCCCTATTTGCATTGGAAGCTTTTTTGAGGCATTGAAAGATCCTTGCAATGTGCCTGCCACCATGCCTAATTATGATTACTGAAGGAAAACATATTGTTTTTACTACGTTTCTTCTTCCTCTTCCTCTTCTGTTCCAAACACTAACCTCTGACCTGACCAATGACATGATTTGTTGACGTCTGTGACCATGGTGACTGGTGTTAGGTTACATAATTTTGCAAATTCATGGTCTGCTCTACTCGTGTCACCATATACTAGTAGTACATGTATGTGAATATGTTTGAGTAAAAATTAACAGGGCAGACCATGTCCGAAGGCAAACATTATGCATTTGCTTTGCAAATGTTACTTCTCTAGTCTATTATTAGTTTTAACTTAAAACATCTATTTGTAATAATGGCCAAAGGCCACTTTTCCTCCAGCGTTTCCTTTTTAATTTCATAAAATGTAAGTTTCTGTACCTTTGTTTCAGAACATGTCATTGTTCATAGTTTGGGCCGTTGATATTAGCAGTGTTTCTTACCTCTGAGTACGGAGGTATTGTTTTGGGTGTCTGTGTTGTGGGTTTGTGTGTATGTTTGTGTATGGAGGGTAGGTGGTGATTATGGCAGTTGATAGGTAGTGAGGTTAAGCCTGAAGGCGATACGGCGCACACCTACTAAGTAAGAGGCTAGCACGCTGTCAAGAAGTGGTAGAATACCCGATTAAATTACATCATACACATTCACGAATACTAGTACTCGAAACATTCTCGGGAGGTCTGAAACTTCCGACTTCTCGTTTTATTTTGCTTTCTCGATCTCTTGATTCTATTAGCCAAGGCTGGCGCGTAACTTGTTAGAGATCTCCATCTACTTCCCCAGGGGGGGAAGTCCGGCGTCGAACTCGAACGGACAGAGGGTCATTTGATTGCTCCCCTCCACGAACCCCACATAGTCGCAGTGCTGGTCGCTCCACTCATTCCTACAACAGATGAAGTCCGTGTCCAGCATCCAACAGCGGCCACCATACGGCCAGGGATAGCTGGAAATATTAGGAACAAGACTGTCAATGAAAACATACATTGCCATGGCGACGGTGGTTGCAGTTAGGGTTATTGTTTGCATGGCACTGCATGCCATCATTTCATGATTTTGAGGAAGCCTTGGTACCTGTTAAGTCTAGACAGATACAGTGCACTTCTCCCCTGAGTGTGTATTGAACAAGCCCCGGGGTCACAGAAAGTAGGGCTATCCGGGGCAGACAGGTCTTCCCAAGGGTTTCCAGGAATGTGGGCATAGTACTAGTGGGTCAGAGACATGCCTGTGGACATTCCAGTACTGTGGACAAAATGCCTGTACCATTCCTAGAATTCTGCACACAATACTGTACCATTAGGCTCCTCCCTGAGACGTCGCCAAAAATTGTATGAGGGTTGATGAAGTTTAATACTTTCGTTCAACGCGACCAAACGAATTTTCAATCGCTCTTGATGGTCTTACTTCGACTCTCTTGTATAAAACTAATGGATTAATCAAGTATTCAATTTTTTTATTATTTCTTTTATAAGATTTGCGATTGAAAAATCCTATTAGATTTCAACCTGAAGTCAATGGGCGCCGCCATATTGATATGTGACGTCATGGGTCAGCCATCTTGAAACCTACCTGTAGATTTATTCCAACTGACCAGTAAACCTGATCTTTCTCAAATACGACAGACGACCATGAAATACCATCATATACGTAATACTAATGTATATATATGTGTAATATTTTAAGAGAATAACATAATCTTATATCGTATTCAACCAAAAAGAAACACTTTTAAGTTAATGTCATTCTTTCTGCAAGGTCCTTAATTGAAATGTACGTACGGGGATACGCAGTATGCGTAGTCGTCCCTACACCAACACCCCATGCCGCAAGAGTCGACGTCGGTTTCGTCATAGGGGCACGGTCCACCTAGTGGAACAGAAGTGAACTGCATCCATTCCTGTCTATGGCATATGTATTCAACTGCATTATATATGTTTTTCAGATCAGATAAATGTTTGTAAGAAACAGGAGGAGACAGTAAAAACCCCACTGGTCCCGGGCCCGAGGACGAATCTTGAAAAGAAAAGGGGGAGTAGTGTAACAGTGGGGGGTTTATAGGCGCTACCAACAGATCCGGCAAACCGGGGTCTAGACCTTTTAGCGGAGAGGTTAGAGTGTCTGACTGGGGCCCGGGAGGTTGTGGGTTCGAACCCCGGCCTGGGACCAGTGGGGTTTTTATTGTCTCCTCCTGTTTCTTACATGTTGATAAGCTTCAGTTCAGGCCTGTAATTTAGAATGACGCTGCTATACCAAACCGCCTGGTGGCGCAACGCATCATTTCTGTAGCTATGTTCACCGGATACGACTCTAGCTACGTACTTTTTATCGCAATGTTCCATATCTCATATCTCATGTCTATGCCTTACCGTTTAGGGGCACTGGTGGAAGAGCCGCGTCTGTGACACCGTTGGACAGCCATACAGCAACCTGTGTCATAGACAAACATGCAAAAACAAACAAACAAACACACAAACAAAAAACAGACGGGTCTTTGACAACAGCAAAGAAGCCAAAAGCTATACGCCTAAAATGAAATCGGGGCACCTCTATGATCCTCTATGCATGTGTTGTGTATCTTACACAATAAATTCAAGTTCTGCTTTTCTGTGGCATTTTTTTGGAAAGGAATTTCGAGGTTACTACTCACTGTGCGGCCACATTCATTCGTATGAACTTGTTTGATTTTTAAGTCGTATGTTTTTTTCAAGAATGCTGTGACAGAACCAACCACGGCCAATGATCTAAGCCAGTCGAATGCTTTACGACATATGCACCACTATGCGATTAATATCCCGGAGTATCGTACGACGATCGTACAATGTATGTGCGACAGGCTCCTTACTAGCCTCTCCCAGGCTTCGGGAGGCGGCTGGAAAGAGTAGAAATCGGCCAAATAGAGAGATAACATGCCAGGAGAGTTTATCTGCTCGGAGAGAACATTCGGGTGCGGCAAAATGTTCTCTCCCAGCAGACAAACTCCACTGGCATGTTATCTCTCAATTTGGCCGATTTCTACTCTTTACAGCCGCCTCCCGAAGCCTGGTAGAGGCTAGGTCCTTACCAAAGCTGTGGTCAGCACGAAGAAATAGCTGTACTGCATGGTTGGATGTGATGAAGAAATGGCTGTTAAAGACTCCGACGAAAAGAAGTACAAGTAGCTCCAATATGGTCCTCTGTCTCAATGTTGGCTTTAAACAAGACGGAAACTAAATAAAACAGTTTTATCTGTATGTACATATTTTGTCGATCGATCCAGTGACGTAGAAAATGAGCTAGCGTTAGAAATACCGCGCGATGTTAAGAGGTTATCTGTCAAAGGCAAATCGGACCAGATGGCACGGTCCCAGTGTCTCTACGTTTGTATATATATATAAGCTATATATATATAATTATGACATGTGAGTTTCTGTACTTTTGTTTCAGAACATGACCTTTATGTTGGGTTGTTTCTTACCTCTGAGTACGGAGGTACTAGTATTGTTTTGGGTGTCTGAGTTGTAGGTTTGTGTGTATGTTTGTGTATGGAGGGTGGGAGGTGATTTTAACTGTTGATAGGTAGGGAGGCCAAGCCTGAAGGTGATACGGTGCGCACCTACTAAGTAAAAGGCTAGTGCGCTGTCAACAAGTGGTATAATACCCGATTAAATTACATCATACACAGTTCGAACACATTCACGAATACTAGTACTCGAAACACTCTCGGGAGGTCTGAAACTTCCGATTTCTCGTTTTATTTTTCTCTATCGATCTCTTGATTCTATTAGCCAAGGCTGGCGCGTAAAAATAGAGAGACCTCGTTAGATTTAGAGATCTCGTTCTATTTCCCTGTAGGCAGGGTCAGGGGTCCGGCCGCTACGATCCCGGGCGCGTCCATGTCGAGCGGACAGAGTACCTTGTTAGGACTGCTCCCCACCACAAACCCCACAAACCCGCAGGTCATGCCGCTCCACTCCTTCATACAGCAGAAGTCATTCAGTTCAGGCCAGCAGCGGTAACATGACGAGTCAAAACACGCAGGGCTGGAAATGTTTAATATAAGAAATTACATGAAAGCTGATGAAGTTTTCGTTCAACACACGCAAAAGTAGCTCACCTCTTCTTTGAATGAGCGTATTCGACCCTCTTGTATCAAAACCAATAGAGGAATATAAGGTATTCAAGAATTTATTAGAATAATTTCTTTCATAACACATGTGATCGTAAAGTTCTATTTTATTTCAACCCCAAGTTAATGGGCACCGCCATATTGGCATGTGACGTCATGGATCAGCCATCTTGAAATTATTATAAGCTGATTCATCTCAACTGGCCTGAGGTAAACGTGGTCTTTAAAAAATACGACAGACGAACATGAAATACTAATATATATAACGTTATATATGTAATATTAATATATTAGAGAGAGACAGATTTATATATATATATATATATATATATATATATATATATATATATATATATATATATATATATATATAGTTAGTAGTAAGTATATATATAT